TCTTCTGCTGGGATGTACAGAGTTTTTCTTTCTGCACATTTTCCAAGGCGGGTCTTTGGTTAGAGGCCTTGCCTGTGTGAGAGAAAACAAAACCACGCCTGTTGCCGTCTTAGAGACCCTAGAGCAGCGGGTCTCCACCTTTCAGACAGTTCATCACGGGGTGGTGATCCCGCAACCATAACATGATTTTCGTTGCCACATTATAACTGTAATTTTGCTACTGTTATGAATCGGACGACCCCTGTGAAAGGGTCCGACCCCCAAAGGGGTCATGACCCCCACAGGTTGAGAACTGCTGCCCTAGAGGACAGAGTCGCGTTGCCCCACAAGGCTTGCAAGGTTCTAATCTTTATGGAAGCAGACCACAGCACCTTGCTCCTGAAGACCAGCTGGCGAGTCTAAAGAGCCAAGCTTTTGGCTCACAGCTGCATGCTTAGGCACCGTGCCTCTAGAGCTCCGTTGATAGAGGGCAGGGCACCTGGACTGCAGGCAGCAGGCAGAATGAAGCTGCAACAACTCGACTGGGCACCAGCAATGAATGTTGTTAGATGCCAGTGAATTGGTTCCGACTCACAGCCACCCTAGGCAGATCAGAACAAAACGCGCCTGGTCCTGGACCATCCTCACAAGTGTGCTTATGAGCGCATGGTTGCATCCACTGCGTCCACCCATCTCGTCGAGGGCCTTCCTCTTTGTCGCCGCCCCTCCACTTTACCAAGCATGATGTCCTTCTCCAGGGACTGGTCTCTCCTGATAACACGCCCAAAGTACATATAAATGGGCCATACTTATTCCTCAAGTTAGTCCTATTTTCCTTCAAAATATTCCAGAATGTCCACTTACTGGGTGGGAAATGTCCACGAATAACACTTCTAACAAGCTAATCTGGAGACTAAGTGTCAGGAGATAAACTCAGAAGTCTACAGTGTCGGGGAAAGAAGCCTGTTCACCTCTCACACAGGCGGAACTGTCACGAAGCCAATGGCAGGCAGGTGGTTGGGGTGACAACTCTAGTTTACTAGTGAAAAAAAATCTAGTTTTTCATGCAATAGTTGTCTGGTCTTCTGACTCAGTCAGCTAGGAACTGCGACTAAGCAGCCCAAACAGATCTCTAGAGCTGGTTTTTAATGGTACTTCCTTGCATACTTGGCATTCTTTCTAGCCCTATTTTTAAAGCTTAAAACCAGGGTGCAACAAATGTGTGAGAATGCAGATGCGGCTGAAAATTATATGCTAGAATTGTGGAAGGCAAGATTCACTGGAAACATCTTTTTACAATGGTGACTACATGTAGCCCTCTCGCATGGAATACACAGGAATCAAATTGATTATATCTGTGGAAAGAGGTAATGGTGAAGTTCAACATAATTATTCAGAACATGGCCAGGGGAAGATTGAGGAATAGAACATAAATTGCTAATATGCAAGTTCAAGTTGCAGCTGAAGAAATTAAAACAAGTTCACAGGAACCAAAATATGATCCAGGGTCAGAGACCGTCTCAAGAATGACAGACAAGTTGGAGAATGACATCAAGGACATTATACATGAAGAAAGAAAAAGTCATTGAAAAGAAAGAAAAGTCCAAACGGACGTCCGAATAGACTATACTTGTTCTTGAGTGTAGAACAGTTAGGGTAAATGGAATAAAGTAAGAAATGAAAAGAGATGAACAGAAGATTTGAAAGGGCAGCTTGGGAAGATATGAGCGTAAAATATACTAAAATGTGAGAATACCTGGAGTTGGAAAAAAAAAGAGGGAAGAACATGTTTCGCATTTCTCAAATTGAAAGAACTGAAAAAATATTCAAACCTCAAGTTGAAATACTGAAGGATTATATGGGCAAAATATTAAACTATGCCAAAAGTATCAAAAGAAGGTGGAAGGAATCCTTGTACCAAAAAAGAGTCCTTGTACCAAAAAGAAGGGATCAATGTCAAACTGCTTCAGAAGGTAGCCTATGATCAAGAACTGATGATATTGAAGAAAGAGTCCAAAGTGAACTGGAGGCACTGGTGAGAAATAAGGCTCTGGGAACTGAAGGAATACCAATCAAGACTTTTCAACAAAACAAATGAGATGCTGGAAGTATTAATTCAACTGCTCCAAGAAATTGGAAGAGAGCTACCTGACCACTTGACTGGAAGAGATCCGTAATTGTGCCCGTTCCAAAGAAAGGTGACACAAGAGAATGCATAAATTATTGAAAAATATCATTAATAACACACGCAAGTAAAAAAGAAGAGAATCCAAAACTGGTTGCAATAGTAATCAGAAATGCCAGAAAAATGCCAGAAATTTAAGCCAGATTCAAAAGGGTATGAGATATATAGTTGATATCAGATGAATTTTGGCTAAAGCTGAACATATAGGAAAGACGTTTACCTGGATTATCCATAAAAATTTATGGATAGTGTTATGAAGAATGGGATTCCAGAACACTTAATTGTGCATATGTGGAAACAACACAGATCAAGAGTCCTTCCAACTGAACATAATGTATGGTGTAAAATCAGGAAAATTATATCAGGGCTGTCCTTTCACCATATTTATTCAGATCTGTATGTTGAGTCACTAATCCAAGTATACACATGTGAAGAACAGAGCCAGAACCAGAGGAAGGCTCGTGAACCACATGTGAGACGCAGATGACACAATCTTGCTGGTTGAAATCGAAGAGGCCTTGGAGCACTGTGATGACGAGCAAAGACTGCAGACTTTAGTCTGGATTACATGGTCATAATTTCTTTTAAAAGAATTCATACTAGTCTAGTTCCAAGGAGTTGGAGATTAAAGATGTCCCAAGTGTCCAAATCTTCCAAGATGCTATTCTGCTTGATCCACACCTCCCACCCCCTACCTTCCCTGGAGTATATTCCCTCATGTTCTCGGGCTCTGAGATTTGCTGCATAGAAATTCACAAACCTCTGAGGAAACGTTTCATGTGATGGTGGGTGCTGTTCAGTCCAAAATCTTAAAGCCAGCAGAAGTGAGCCATATGGAGGGTCCAGAGCCAGAAGGCAAAAATGTCCAAAGGTCACAGCAGGTCTTGCTGCTACTAAAGCTCAGTCAGGAACTAGATGTCTGGCTTTCCATGCGAGGTGAGGTGTGTTAGAATTGTACAGTGCAACCAATATATTCACACCCCATGTAAGGAAAACAATGGATGGTGTCTTAAGTCACACCCTCTACTAAGGTATGGTTAAATATATCCCCAAGGAAACGAAGGGTTCACATCTTCTACTGAGGTGAACTATTAATCATTACCCTAATCCTGTCCATTAGTATTGAATGCCCTTGAAAATAGGACTATAGCCACAGTTGCAGATAGCCCAGATTAATAATGGATCATATAAGGAATTATGCCTAGAAGGGCTATATTAATGGATAATAACACATATTACACCTTAACATAAATAAAACAAAAATCCTTTCAAGTGGAACCAATAAACATCATGATAGAGAAAATAAAGAAATAACCAAGGTGTGCCCCTAATAAAATGATTTTTTTAAAAAGAAAATAAATAACCAAGGATTTCATTGTATTGGAATCACAATCAACACAGTCAAGAAGTCCAATGGCATGTTGCACTGCTGCAAAACAACTCCTGAGAAAAGCGTTAAACAGCAAAGGCCTGATTTTGAGGTCGGAGGTGTGCCTGACCCAAGCTTTGGAACTTTCAATTGCCTTACAGACAGAGAGAGCTGGAATATGAGGAAAGAAGACTGAAGAATTGATGTCTTTGAATTACCGTGTTGGAGAACAATCTCTAAATTACTATGGACTGCCAGAAGAACAACTCTGTCTTGGAAGACATACAATTAGAATGCTCCTTAGAAGTGACAATGGAGACACTTCTCAGGTACTCGGCCATGTTACCAGTTCTTGGAGAAGGACACTGGTAATTACACAGTTTCATGTCAACCTGATATTAAGTTTTGAGAAAAGAATGAAGGGGTGGAGTTTACCCTGTCAATCAGGCCATCGCTTGATGATGCCTCCTTGTGGGCATGGCCTAATCATAGGATTCTGGGAGCTTCCTTTTTTTTTCTCTCCTGGGTGGTGGATCACACTCTCTCTCTGGTTCACCTTCCTGTTGACAAGCCACATGGAGCCACGCTGATGGCAGCCAGAGCCCTGGAGATGCATCCTCCACCATTGGAGCTACAAGACTTTTCACCCACCAGCCTGTGATCATTGCATGTGCTGTGTGAGTCTGAAGAGGAATTTATGGACTAGTATTGGACATATGGGCTAATATCAGACTTATGAACTTTATCTGGACAGGGCTGCACTGTTTGCCCAATATATAATTGCTTTTTGATATAAAGCTCTCTCTTACACATATATGAGTGTCTCTGAATTTGTTTCTCTAGTCAACCCTAACTAACACAGGCATCATGCTTGGTAAAGTAAAGGGTCAGTGAAAATGAGGAAGACTCTCAACCACATGGGAATGACACAGTGCCTGGAACAATGGGGTCAAACAGGAAAGGCTCTGAGCCTGAAGCAGGACTGCACACTGTGCTATTCTGTTGTACACAGGGTCCTTATGAATTAGAACCAACTGAAGGATTCCAACCAATATCAACGTGGTTGGGATAGTTGGGCAGAACATGAGACATGACTACTAAGGGTAAGAGGTTTCTTTAGGGTGATAAAAATGTTCTGGAATTATATGGTAGTGAAGATTTAATGACAACTGTTTTATTGCATGCTTTACATGGTTGAATTTTATGTCTGTGAATTATATCTCAATAAAACATAAGTTATGTAAACAATCTTACAAAGCAAGTTACCAAAGTATATATAAGAGAAAAATGTCTATTAAGAACAGATATAAAATATAGTTTTAAAAATGCCAATAGTGGTTGGATTAGCAGGGAAAAGCTTTCTACTTTTTGGCCCTTTCAGAATCTTTTTCTGGTTAAAATGAATGATGTTGATGTGTAAGAATTAAAGTGCTTCTCCATTGAAGGTACAAGTAAGAAAGATGGTACCTGGGCTGGAGGGTGTGCAGTCAGAGGAGAAGGCGCTTCACTGACTTTTGGCTCACTGGGGGACGCAGCTGAGCCTTGTGACTCCTGGCTGGCTGGCTGGTCTGGGGACAAGGCATCGCTGCTGTCTTCGTCAAATGAGAAATCACCCTGAGTTTGGGGATAGTCTTCTTTTCCAACACCTGCAAAGAAATGATTCTTACTTCATTTTGGTCTTGAAATACCAAACTTAAAATGAAAAAGGAGAAAATTTCTTAAAATAAGAACTTTAAAAAGTTGGTTTTTAAAAATAGCCAGCATATTATTGACCATTATGTACTTGCCAATGAAAAAAAACCTAGACTACCTAATGTATTCTTTAAAAACACAAAATTAAAATTGGATCAGCTTAATCCTCTGGATCCTACTAAGAGTTACAGAAGTACAAGAGGCAGAGGAAACATCTTAATGATAAATGAGGCTGCAAATATCCTTAGTAAAATCCCAAGTAAGAATGTTCCACCATGCAATAAGCAGTGAGGCAAGAAAGGGGCTCTATTAAATAGATTAGGACATAAGAGACATATCAACCAAAGGTCATATGTGGACCTTGTTTGGATCCATCTATTAGAAAACCATGATGGGGCATCTGATCCATTTTAAGTGACATCATATTCTTTGTTTGGAACTCTTTGGGACTGAATGTATTCACTGCACTACTATAACTGACTGTACTACTTAGAATATGAAGCACAAATTTTCTAAAAACTTAAATTCATATTAATGTAAAATAAGAAGTTCTCATGGGTAATAGAAACTACAACAGTTTTCAAAATAGTGTATTATGTTTGCAAAATTACTTGCTGAATAAACAGCAATATCCTTGACATCATATTTTTCCACAGCTAAACCTTATCCCAGGGAAGAAAAAACCCCTGCAATACTAGACATCAGTGATTTAGTACAAGACTATGGTAAAATGGATGGTACCATCATTCTTAAAGAATATAGTACTCCTATGTGTGTCTGGTATTTATCTTCCTGAACTAATAATGAACAACCTTTTTTTCTTGATCTTTCCTAAAAGTAGATAGAAATAAAGTAACACACAGTTTATGAAAATATTAAACAAAAACTAAGCAGTATAATCCAATAACTTAGAAAACATGGAAACAAAATCAGAACATGAGACTTGAAGCTCAAATATAAGTGGGGAATTTCTGTGTTAATTAAGGTAATGGATGATAACATGTAATGTCATATCAATACTAACAACAGTGAGAACTGTTGCAGGTGTTAATCAATTTCTAATTAATCCAGAAGAGAATATACATGAGTGACAGTGTTGCATTCCATTAGGTTGTTTTGCAAAAAGACCACAAGTTTCAAATACTCTTTCTCACAGAAAATAGTAATCTTGTAGTGACTCGCCTATAATTGCTTCCTTAACACTGGAGTCTACAGGAAGGATATTCTTCTCTACCAGCTCCATTGGGCCAGGCCTTTGGGCAATCTTTTCGTTCAGATCATCGGCCAGCCGAGCCCGCTTCAGCTTCATCTGAGCAGCCTGGAGAGATGGCTCTGCAAATGTTTCTAAGGAGGAAGCAGAGCTGTGATCAGTACTTGAACACCATCATTATTTTATACCGTTATTCCATCTAACTTCTTGTTGCTGTTTGAGCCTTATCATTTTTTTGTTTTAATCATCTTACTGGGGGCTCATACAACTCTTATCACAATCCACACATACATCCATTGTGTCAAGCACATTTGTACATTTGTTGCCCTCATCGTTCTCAAAACATTTGCTTTCTACTTGAGCCCTTGTGTTTACAGCATATCCAGGGAGGAGAAAAATGGTTCTTTAACAATGCTCCAGGACACATTGTGTATTTTTAGTCCTGGGTAACTTCCTGCTGTCTGTATAATATGAATACCAACACACTCAATTATAAAATGTGTAGCCCCAAACTAGGTATGCTGTTGTTCATTTACGGCAGAAGGTGAGCTCACCTAAACTAGTGCCTACAGTTGGCCCATCTGACACAAAACTACTATTAAGAACCAAAACTCACTTCTTTGCTTCATTCAATCGGTTACCTGTGTTTCTGGTGACTCAAACTAACATTTGTTTCCAATGCTCTAAGTGATGATTATAAAGCGTTTGAAAACAATGATGAGCCAAACCAAAATTCCAATTTGAAAATTACTTGCCTCCTAAGTTCTACAGTAGAAGGTCTTTTGAGAACTCTGCCCTAAGTAGTCTCAGCATCAGGAGAGCATTAGTGGTCTCCATTCTTTAGGTGGAATGTTCTGGTTGAAGCCAAAGTTCACTGAAGGCTCATGGCTCTTAGCCACTCTCCCATACACCCGTGCACTTCTCTTTTCACTAGGTGAGTTGTATGCTTAGCAAATGTCAATCTTGATTTACCACAAATAGTTCATCTAGGATGTAACTGCTATTGTTGTTGCATACTTTAACTACAGGTTAGAGAGAAATGGTAAATTACATGCTTTGGGAAATTTAATACCAAAGAGTGGTTTTTAAAACTGCTGTCAAATTAGAGCAGAATGACTGTAAGAGGCCTGGGGAAAAGTTGGCAAAATCTAAGACTGTTTTTTTGGTGTCTACATAGCTTTGCTTCACTGTGACCAGACACTGTAGATGATGTACATGAGCATGGTTTTTGCAGGGAAGATGGGTAAACTCCCTCCATTTAGCTATCTTCAAAGAGAAGACTTTAGTCCTATATTACAGTATTTAAAATAAATGTACACTTTGGTGCTACAAATAAAAATAGAGTGTGTGCACATCGTATTGTCAGAATTTGCCAGTAGAAACGATTGTGGCCCTTAACTTGTTAGTATCCTATTCTAATCATACAGAGGTGACAGGCCAGTGTGCAGAAGCGAGATAATCTAAATCACTCGTAGGTTGCTTTTGAAATGCTTTTGTTAAGATCCAGGTAGGATAGCTTCTCTCCCTTAGGAAAAACAGGGCTTTCGGTTGTCATGCGCCAGAGTTGACTCGATGGCAGTGAGTTTGTTTTTTCCCTCCTTTCCCTTATAAGTGAAGATATTTTCAGGCATACGAGGATCCATTTCACTCAGTGACTTACCAGTGTCACTTGTTTCTCTGAAGACTCACTTTTCCCTGACAGCTGGAGACTGCGTTTACCCACCTGTGGAGTTCTGGAAAAGCTTTTTAGTCTTTGGACTTCTGAGAACACAACCCCAAGTGCAAGAAGGCATGTGCCTCTCTTCCCACTGGAAGGATGAAGATAAGTCACACAATCATTGACTCTTTGGGTTAGAAGAGCCCAAAAGGATTGTGGAGCCTGATTTGGGACTCTGCTAATGGTGACCATGCTGTCTCCTGAAGATTTTGTTTTTGGTTATGTATGACCTTTAGGATGTTATTCCTTTTGTAGAGGTGCAATCTACCACTTTGTGTTTGTAAAATCACCTTAATTCTATACTTGGGTCTAGAGAAAACAAATCAAATTCTTTTCCTAATAATTGTCTATCAATATTTGAGAAGATCTGAGAGTCTTTCTGTATCTTCTCAATGTTACTTGAGAGCTTATGGTAGCCAATGGCAGCTTTCACAATTGGTGTTATCTTCTGGAGAAAAAGATTCTGGCCTGAACCATGTGTTTCGCCAACGAAGGTATCAAACTGCCATCTTCATAAGCAATAAGACTACATTATCAAGGCACCTTTGGTGGGATCAGTTGCTGTTGTAATTGAATGCCATTAAGTTGATTTTGACTTACAGCAACCCTATAAGGAAGAGCAGAACTTTTTATAGGTGTTCCTCCTGCAGAGGGGCTGGGTGGGCTCAAACTGCTCGCTCTGGGGTTAACAAGAGTGCTTTAACTGTGGTGCCATCAGAGCTCCTTGGCGGGTGAATGTAGGGTATTTATAATAATGGCCAGACTAAGCTGTTGTCTTGGATCTGTGGAATACAGAGAAGATGCTGGGTGTGGGCAATACGTTAGGTAAACACTGCACAGTATAAGGAGCTGACAATCTAGGGTCATACTTCAGCTAACTGCACCCTCAATGTGAGGGACACATGTCTCTTATTGATGAAGAAGTCCTCTGGGCAAGAAGGTTTTTTGCAGAATAGTAATAGTAGATATAGAGCTACGATATTAGCTGGTAGGAGTCAGTCCATCAGTGTGCTACTTGGAGGATGAAATTTTCCCCATGTATCTAACATAACACTTTAGTTTTGGTTCTTCATGGCGCTACTCAATTTGGAGTATGTCAGCCTGTGGGGTAGAAAGTTATGAAAATGGGAATAAGCAGAAAAGGTAGAATTCTTATTTTGCTTCTTGAGAAACACAACAAAATAAGTGGAAAGGGAACTTTACCTTCTAAAATATGCATTCTCACAAGTTCAGAACGATCTGGTCGGCTCCGAATCTTGTGCTTCAAGAAGTTTTCAGTCTTTAAAAAAAAAAGAAGAAGAAGAAAGTCTTGTCATTAATTTGTTAGAATTTATTGTAATATCGTCCTCAAGGTTCTCTACTTAAAGAAATCTAACACCATTTTTCATGACTTTGAGAATAGATAATTGAATTGAGAGAAACTAATACCTGATACATGATTTAAAATGCAGCATTAAAAATCTAAAATGTGCTTGAATGGTATGTTGGTGTAAGAAAGGTTTTACTGACATTTCAAAACTTGGCAAATGCAACTGATCATAGTGATCTACCTATAACCCCCTCCCAGGGGATAGACAACAGAAAAGTGGGTGAAGGGAGATACTGGTCGGTGTAAGACATGAAAAAATAATAATAATTTATAAATTATGAAGGGTTCATGGGGGAGAGGGGGAGGGAAGGGAGGGAAAAAAATGAGGAGTTGATACCAAGGGCTCAAGTAGAAAATGTTTTGAAAATGATGATGGCAACAAATGTAAAAATGTGCTTGACACAATGGATGGATGGATGGATTGTGATAAGAGTTGTATGAGCCCCCAATAAAATGATAAAACAAAATAAAAAACCAAAACACTTGGCAAATGGGTCTGATAATTTTGAAAATGGTTTGTTAATAGATAAAATCATTAAAATATACACCTTCAGGTCAAGTCAAACCCACTTAGATAGTAAGAAATTTTCTAAAGCTCCTAATGCACTTTCTCACATTCTTGATCACATCTGCTTCATCAGAACTACACTCAGTTCCAAACACAGAACTTTTAAGATGTGTTTTACACTCTATTAATACTTTAAGAGATCATTAGTGGCAACTGGGGAAAATCTTGGACACCCTTAAGGAATTTCTGGGATATCCTTATTTCCATATTGCAAGTTTCCCCGGAAACAAATAAACAAAACAAAGAGAAAGCGTCTGCATGATGATACTTTGAAGGACACAAACAAGCACAATTTGATGTACAGCGACGATGGAAGCTATCAAAGCTGCACATCAAATTATGTTTATAAAGAATCAAGCAGAAAAAAAAAAAAGAATCAAGCAGAGTCCAAGGTAACTATCTTCTTTTCTTTATCCAACCTTTGGTCCAATGAACAGGTAAACTAAGCCCAGCGGGGGAGCCACCTCAGGATCTGCTGCTAGGTCATTACTTGGACTGTCTGCACAGGCAGAATTACCCCTTCGTACACCTCCTCAAACTGCTTCTGCCCCGACGAGCAAGGAAACGGATTTGTCTTCTACTTACAAAGCTAGTGACTGGCGTTGAAGAACAAAATTAGAACGGCATAATTCCTATAAAGCTTCAAGATAAAACTACCCCAGACTACTATTATTCTATACACTGTATCTCCCAAGAGTACACTGCACTGCACTATTTAGGCCAAGACTACTACTGATATACAATGACTTTAGAATAAAAGAGGGAAGCAAAGAGGTAGAGTATTTTAAGCTGAAAATTTCTTACTCTGGCTCGTTCCAAGCTTTTTATCTGTTCATGGAATGCCGCCGGACTCTTCAGAGCTGTGAGAAGGAAAATAAGAATGTTTCCACAAGCCTCACTTCAATCAAACGTTACAATACATAATGTTGATGCTTGCTCTCAAGTTTATTAGTCCATACCTACTGTTCCCTCAGGGAATCTGTGAACTCTGGAACATACAGTGTTATAGAATGACAATGGTATCTTTCACAAATAAAATAAAATTGAAAAATAGATTTGTATACACAATGATATTACAAATATGAGGTCAATCTAGTTTCAAACAAATTTGGGAAGATTTTCATTAATGAGAATATTGTTTGATGATTCCTCAATGGCTCTTTGCTTTTAATGGTCAGCTACCAATTACAGGTAGCTATTAGCGATTCTCCGCCCGCTCCCCCCACCTCCACCCCACCCCCCACAAAGACAAAACCCACAAATGAGCTGATCCTGACTCACGGTAACACCATGTATTTCAGTGTAGAACTGTGCTCCACAGGGTTTTCAAACTTTCACAAACAGATTGCCAGGACTTTTTCCCAGTGGAACTCTGGGTGGGCAGGAACTGGCAACCTTTCAGCTAGCACGCCAGTTGAAAGACTCAGAGAAGTTAAACAAGTTCCTTAGGTCATATAACTATCAAGATGGTGGTTGAAGTTAGATTTAAAACTAGAATTCTGATTTGAAAGCCTTCTGCTCTTTGTATTATGTACCACTATGCAACTCACTCTGAAAACATAAGTGATTCTATGGTATGTTAACTGCTAATCCACTAAATATTTCAGAATCCCAGAGGGGTGGTTCACCAAAACATCAACTATTATAATATTTCTACTGATTATAAAATGGTTCATGTGTGTTCACATTGCTTGATGACACACTGTACTTGCCACCATGGCCAGCCTGGTGGCCTAGATGGTACACAGAACTAGGCTTCCTGGATAAGTCACCTACAGGATGTAACCTAATCAGCACTCGATCACGTGATTCTTAGCTCTGGTGCTTCAGCCCTGCAAAGGCTCCTGGAAGCCCAGCCCAGTAAGACTGGCCTCAGGACTGGCTACCAAAGCAGACGAGAGCTGTATGGCAGTGGTGTCTTAACCATCACAATTTGATCCTCTTTAATTGGGCCATAGCTAAGAATGTGTTGACAGAGACTTGGAAGAATATCAAAGCAACTTTTGACTCTACCAAAATGCTAGGTTTTAAATATTTAGTTATTCAATTAATCGCCCAGAAAAAAAATCACTGGGAAAAAGATCTGTAGACTGTAGAGCAAAGTCATTCCTTATCACAAACCCTGAAAAGGTAGTAGGCGGAATGATTCAGAAGAGAGTGTGAGAAGCATAAATTCATTATGTTATTTTTCCTTAATCTTCAAAAAGTCCATTAAGTTATTTCTTAGAGAAGTCCAATTTTAGATAAAATTCAAATTATTCAAACAGCTGACATAAACATTCTTTCCTTCTAAAATATCAAACCAACTCCAAGCCACTAAAAGGTAAATAGGCAACTTTAACAAATATTCTAATCAACTTGCAGACATCTTTCATAGGAATGAGCCTAAGGGCTACTGGGAAATATCTGCACTTGTCCAAAGAAGGTTTGGTTTTTAATTATATATGAAGTGTGTATAATTCCGGTAATGGAAACAAACATAATTACACTGTAGAACTGTACTAGAGCATGAACCACTACTGTTTGACCTACTGTGGTGGCACGATGCTGGAAGCTAAGCTGCCAGCATTTCAAATACTAGCAGAACTACCAGACTAAGACAGGCCGGAAAGGAAGACCTGGCAATCCACTTCTGAAAAGTATTGTCCAGTGAGAAGTTTCGAGTAAGAGTGGAACTTTATCTGATACAGTGCTAGCAGGTGAGTTCCTCAGGCTAGACAGCACTCAGAACGAGAAAGAACTGCCTCCTCAAAGTACAGGTGGCCTTAATATGATGTTGATGAAGTAAAGCTTTTGGGATCTTCATCTGTTGATGAGGAGAAACAGTTGCAAACATACATTAATAAGTAGAACACGGAATGTATACAGTATGAAGCTAGGAAAATTGGAAGTCATAAGAAATGAAATAGAACACATAAAGATGAATATCCTAGGCCTAAGGAGATACGATGTACTGGTATTGGCCACTTTAAATCCAATAGAGCTCATATAGTCTACTCTGCAGGGAATGACAAATTGAAGAGGAATGGTCCCACATTCATTGTTAAAAAAACATTTTAAGATCTATTTGGAAGTACAATGTACCTAACAAGGAAAACAAGTTAATAAAACTATTGCTCAAATTTATGTACCTACCACTAATGACAAAGATGAAGACATTGAAGATATTGACCAATTTCTACAGTCAGAAAGTGATCAGACATGCAATCAAGATCCAATCGTAATTACTGGTGACTGCAATGTGAAAGTCAGAAACAAAAAAGACGGATCAGTAGCTGGAAAAGATGGCTTTGGTGGTAGAAATGAGGCCAGAGATCCCAAGAGAGAATTACGCAAGACCAATGACTTACTCATTGCAGAAACCTTTATTTTCAACAACATAAACTAACTATTCGTATGGACCTCACTGGAAATAAAACACAGGAGATCAAATAGACTACACTTGTGGAAGGAGATGATGTGGAGAAGCTCAATATCATCAATCAGAACATGAATTGGGGCTAACTGCATCAATTGCAGTTAAAGGTGAAACAAATGTAAACAAGTGAACAAAAGCCCATGCATGACCTTGAGTATATCCCGCCTGAACTCAATACACTGGTCTGATATGTTAGCACTAAAGACCAAGACTGCGTGAATTGTGGAATGACATCACACATGAAGAAAGCCAGGTTATTAAAATAGTAAGTATAAAAGAAAACACCAAAATGGTTGTCAAAAGAGACTCGGAAATTTACTCTTTAATTAGTGTTGCTAAAATAAATGGAAGAAATAATAAAGTAAGAGAGCTAAACAAAAATTTTGTTTCCCTTTTGGTCTCAAATAGTGGATTAAATTAGTGGTCTCCAATAAGGTGTGCATACCTCATCTGAAGAAAGGATCTCAAAGAGTGGCTAGAGAAGACAGAGTAAAGCATTACTAAGGGAGCAGAGACCGTAAGCTAGAAAACCAAAAGGGAAAAGCACATGCCACAATTCTCATACTGAGAGCAGGGAAGAATTTTAGTTATCAAGTTGTAATACTGAAGGGCTCTACTTGTAACATACTGACCAAATCCAAGAAAGTATCCAAAGAAAAGAGAAGGAAATACACAGAATCACTGTACCAACAAGAACTGGTTGATGTTCAAGCATTTTAGGAGGTAGCACATGCTCAAGAACTGATTGTATTAGAGGAAGAAGTCCAAGGTTTACTGAAGGCATTGGCAAAGATCAAGGCTCCAAGACCCGATGGGACACTAAGTGAGATGTTTCAACAAATGTACGCAGAGCTGGAAAAACAAATTTGGCTATGCCAAGAAATTTGGAAGACAGCTAGCTACTTGCCCAAGTGACTGAGAGGTGATCCAATAGAATGCAGATATTATTGAACACTACCATTAATGACAACATAAGTAAAATTTTGCCCAAGATAATTAGAAAAGGTTGTAGCATTACATTGACAAGAGTAACTTCTAGAATTTCAAGCCGGATTCCAAAGAGGAAGTGAAATGAGGGACATTACTGTTGAAACCATATGGGTCTTGGTTGAAAGCAGAACATACAAGAAAGATGCTTACTTGAGGTTTACTGACAATGTATTTCACGTGTGGATCATAACACATTATGGATAACATTGTGAAGAACCGGATTCCATAATACTTAATTGTGCTCCTGTAAAACCTATTTATAGACCAAGAAGCAGTAATTCAAAGAGAACAAAGGGATCCTGACTGATCTAAAATCAGAAAAAGTGTGGGTCGGGGTTGTAATCCTTGATTATACTTATGCAATCTGTAAAGTGAGCAAAGAGTCCAAGAAGGCGGACTAAATGAAGAACAGCATCAGGACCGGAGGAAGCCTTATTAACAAACTGTGGTACAGAGACAACGCAAGCTGGCTTGCTAGAAGGGAAGAGGACGTGAAGATCAAAGCTGTCCGCCTGAGTGTGGATGACACCTCAATATAAAGAAAACCGCACTCTTCACAAATGGCTGATTAAACTACATCATGGAATGTGAAGGAATGATTAAGGCTCTCAAGGATTTCTGTTTGCTTGGATCCAGAATCAACACCCATGGAATGAGCAGTCAAAAAAATCCAATGACGAATTGCAATGGGCAAATCTGCTGTAATCAGGACCTCTTTAAAGTGTTAAAAAGCAAAGATGTTGCTTTAATGACTAAGGTACACCTGACCTGAGCCAGGCTATTTTAAATCACTTCATATGCATGGGAAAGCTAGGCAATCAATAAGGATGGATGAAGAAGGATGCCTTTGGATTATGGTGTTGGTGAAATATATGGAATGTGTTGTGAATTACCAGAACAGAACAGACAAAATTGCCTTGGAAGAAGTATAGCCTTGGTCCTTCAGTCCTCTGAGATTTTGTCTCATGTACTCTAGGCATGTTAGTCTTGGTACTTTAGAGATACAAATCCACAGAAACTCATATATAAGAGTTATACATAAAGGTTAAGTGCGCATCAAGAAAACATCCCAACCCAGTGATGCCCAAGCCCATATGTCCAACACTAATCCACACAGTCCTCCTCCATCTCACAAAACAGACGTAATGATGTCGACAGCAGGAGGAAAGCCGAGTCAGTGAATGAGGAAACATCTCAGTGCTGGCAGGGGTCTCCACACGGGTGCTCCAGCACCCAGGGCTGCATTGGGGTAGCTACATGCGGCTTCTCTTCACAGATGTCTTGCAGGAAATGAGCCTTGACAGCTGAAGCAGGAAACTGGCTAAGGCACCTGCACTCTGGTCTGACCATCAGAGAGCAAGAGATCTGAGAACTCGAAAGGCAAGGCTCACTGAGCCATTTATCCCTCCGCCCTTCAATTAACCCCACACGTGTTTATTGGCCAGGTTGGCACAATAAACTAACTCAGCATGTTCTGAGGAGTGACCAGTCGCTGCAGAAGGACATCGTGGTTGGTAAAATAGAGGGAGGGTCAGTTAAAAAGAGGAAGACCCTTAATGAGATGGATTGCCGCAGTGGCTGCTGCAACAATGGGTTCAAACAGTAACTGTGAAGATGGTGCAGAATAGGGTGGTGTTTCCTTCTACTATACACAGGATTGTTATGAAACGATGGTACTGGTTGAACAGCACCTAGGAACAACACAGCATCAATGATAATTACTGTGAATTCACTAAGTCAAAATAGAACAAGGCTGTGAATTAACTTTTCATGTTACTTTTGTAAGTTTAGCTATTTTCGGATTATGTAGACTGCTTACTTCAATTATTTTAAAACTACAACAAATGTTGATGTTTGATGGGAAAAACTGATGCCAGGTTTGTATAAGTCCATCTTTTAAGTGGCATTTAAAAATATGTATTTTCTAAATAACTCTCTTAGGTTGTCAATCTTGATGTCTGATTTTTTAAGTTCTTTTGGCATTTGTACATTGGTCAAATAGATACAGCTGAGGGTGGAGTGTCATAAAGGCGTTTTTGTTTGGAGCTGGCTCTCTTACTAATGTCACACTCAAGATGTGAGGCTGCAAATCTTACGTGGCATGATGCCCTGGTCCACGAGTTGTTCTCTTGTCCTCCTTTGTTGCAGCCTCAGCTGGAGCACTGAAAAAGGAAACCACCATCGTTAGAGTGAACAGGCCGGCCACTTGAGAAGTCCAGAGACAACGCAAGAAACTTCATTACACATCTTCCATCTTACAATTGAACAGGAAAGATTTTACCTGGCAATAACCAACTTCTTAAAATGAAAAAGATTTTGTGGATTCCTGCTTGGGGAACTTTTAAGTTTGCTGAGTGTATCCTTGGGCAGTTATCTAAAAATCTAAATTTGGTGAATAATTAAAAAAAATCAAACCTTAAAAAAATACGTTCAGGAAATATTTAGTAAACAAGCAAAAGCTGTTGGCTTATCCATTAAGACTCAGTAACAAAGAAGGAACAGAAATGTCAGATTTCTTGACATCTTTTAGTTTGCTGCTTTTTAAAAAAAACAACATAAAATTATTTTAAGAAAAAAAATTAGGACTTACTGCACTGCAAGAATTTTAAATAATTTTAATAAAGGTTAAAGGAATGAGGTATCACTAATAGCCCAAAGGAACACTTCTATATAAAAATTTTAAAGTTAATAGTGTTTGTAAAATAAATAACATATTTCATTTTGTTGTAAGAAAGCCACAAATCAATGGATACCTTATCATTTTATTTAAAAAGTAAAAATTTAAAATATCTCGTCACAAAATATGAAAATCCAATTTGCCAAATTTAGTAAAAAATTAACTTTCTCTTAGGTTTCTGAGACAGTTTTCCTTCCTTTTAGAGTACTCATACATTTCTATTAGAAAAATAAACTTATTTTATATTTTATTTTATTGGGGTCTCTTACACTCTTATCACAATCCATACATATATCCTTTGTGCCAAACACATCTGTACATATATTGTCATCATTTTTCAAAACATTTTCTTTCTACTTGAGCCCCTAGCATCAGCTCCTCATCTTACCCCCC